GTTTAGGGCAATGGCCCTTTAATAGAGCCCTTATGGTCCTCAAAATAGTGGGTATGTAAGGGATAATAGAGGATAGTTGGGGGGTCTAGGAAGATCCCCACAAAAGAGCTCGGAAATGTTAGGGCTGCTAGGTCTGCTCGCCGATAACACCTGCAATGCAGATCCCTGGTTGATGAAGCGGATTGCACCCTCTCAGAATAAGGGTGTGTGGCCCTTGAAGGGGAGGCCAGGAATCCTTGAAACTGTACGAAATAGCTGCTGAGAACCTACGTCCAGAGTCCCCGCCTCTAATTCGCTCGGATGGAACAATGCAGACATCTGACCCCTCAAACCTAAACTCTAAACCCTAATCCCTAAACCCTAAATCTAAACCCTACTCCTCCAATCCTAAGGGCAGACCGAAGCGTCAGGGCCCTGCCTCCCATCTCGCTCTTGGACCTGCCCTCGCATTCGCAGACCTTGGGCTGGATCCAGCTCCCCTAGAAAGCAAACATGGCAATGGATAACATGAAACTGCTCGAAGGTTCATAATAAGAACAAGAAGCACAATAATAGTAACAACAGAAACAGTATCCCTGCCACAGGCTCGTAGCTGCCTGTGCGTACGAAGTTCGGAACCTTAAAACAGTAGCAGCTGTCAGGAAGACTGTAAACCCCTGAACCCCTAACCTCTAAACCCCTGAACCCGAGATCCCAAACTTGATGCCCTGAGGCCAACCACCACGCCTTTGCCGTCTTGGCAGAGAACCCGCAGGCATTCCAATTTGGGGTTTGGGGGTTTAGAGTTTGGGGTTTAGGGATTAGGGTTTAGGGTGTGGGGTTCTGTTAGATACTGTACGATCAATAAAAGGGGTACTCTAGTTAGAAGGGTTGTTTGAAGGGATACCAAAAGGGTTCCTATGCCAGCCTGCACAATTGCCGATACTATTTCTTAGGGTGTCATTCTACCTGGTCATGCACCAATATACCTTTAGTCTCAGTATCATGGCCCCTATATTCTAGCTGGTTCTGAAACTGTGCTTAGTTCTAAAGCGCACAAGAAGTGCTCGTATTCTTCTTGTTGCTTTGTTCTCGCGAGAAAATTAAATTCAGGTGCTTCAGCATGACCGTCAGTTTGAGGAGTCGTCGTGACAGTACGTTTTCTTAGCACCATGACAACAGAACTCGAAAAGACCATCGGCAGCCTGTCTTGTCTCCAGTCTCCTAATCGTCGTAACATCACGTCTCACTGGAAGCTGCTGCCTTGATTGAAGACGACGGTGCTGAACTACCCTACAAGTGGGACCGGCAACCTGGAGTGTGGTCGCAGCCCCAGAGGTATGCTGTGTGCCCTAAACCCGAGACCCTGGGCGCTCAAGTACGAAGCAATGCAAGCTCCGAGCGAGCAAGCTGCCACGTACTTTGGCCTCGGTGCTTTCATGTACTGAAAAGCGTTCCCCGGGATGCTGATATGTCATGGAGCTGGGGTGCCACCTTGTAGAACACTTCGGATTCAAGCGCTGTTCTTTCCTCAGTCTTCCTTTGTCATTCAATACACAACTGCATTGTATCTGACCACCCGCAGGTCCTAAATGACGATGCTAAGCAAGCGTGTCCAAGGAACCTTCATCTGTTGGATCTTCGAGTCCTTCGGGACCATCGCCAACATCACGAATCCGTCGCAGAAGTCTCAGATGTCTCCAATTCGGGTGCACGGCTTTATGATTCAGCACATAGGCGTCCGAATCGTCTGAAAAGCTCTACAACTGTCCTCAGTTCGGGCCCCCCATCGCTTGGCGGCGCCTTGCACCGTGTTTTCGTTTTCGTGGATGTGGCCGGGGTGGACGATATTTTCGGGCCCTGTCTGGGTTGAGTGCATGCGAATGTGGTTGGAGTAGACATTATCATTGGTTCCGGCATGTAGTTGCTGGCACGCACATAGCAACTTGCGGTGTTACTTAGTACCGTGAAGGTGTTGATGGGCTGCTGGCAGACGATGAGGGGTGGAGGTACAGTTTGCCTGATGACGAACTTACGCTTGTTTTCACGTGGCTGCAGAGCTCATAGCTCATAGCCGGAGATGAAGTGTCGTTGGGATACCCGGTACATAAAAAGGTGCTATAGTATGTTATAACATGTACATACTGTATATCTTATCAGGGCAAGCCAGGCGCTTGTGAGTGGTCAGCTGAGCTCTTCCCAGCTGAGGCAGCTGCCTCGCTTACAGCAATCGCCTCCCGAATGCTGGAGTCGAAGAGTCCTCAATCCGAATTCCTGTGGCCTATGTCTGTATCCTACAAACCAAAAAGACCCGGCACATCGCCTAAACCCTAAACCTTATAAGGCCCCAAACGATCCCGACGAAACGCTGAGGACGAATCGGCTTGACTTTTCCACGGCGGCGCAGGGCTTCGACATCACCCGGCAGATGTTGGAGGCCGGTTCTCGGTTCGTAACAGTAAGTAACATACATACTGGGGGTGTAGGTTTTAGGGTTATAATTATTACAGCTATTATTGGGCCCCAAGGCTATAGTAATAGTATATTGGGCCCCACAGCCCTATTCAAGGCATTGGGGCTCGTTTGACTAGGTGTGTAGAAGAGACTTCGGGTTGCAGGCAGGGGCCGCAACGGCCAAAACCTAAACCCGAAACCCTAAACCGTAAACCGTAATCCCCTCAGCTTCTCGACTCCTGCGACATTCTTTCATACGCCATAGAATCCGAAGCCTCTGTCCTTCGCAACTTGGCCTCGACTCTAAGCCCTAGGCCATTACCCGGCGAGAGTTGATCGAAGCGTTCTGAACATCGGTCTGATCGGGGTGACTGATGGAAGGTATGATAACGTCTAGCTTGAGGGAATGACGTACGAGGTGATGAAGTAGCCAGATCTTTGAAAAAAGAGGATCGGAAGACTTTCTGTGAAGCATTTTCTAGTCAGTGCTAACAAGCCTGCCTCTTACTGGCTCTCTGCAGACGAATTGGAAAAAGCTGCCCCCGCCCTCACAAACCCCATAACCCTGAACCCATCCTCAACCCGAAACCCTAAACCC